CCTCCATTGCATAAGCCTTATAGGTAAGGCTTGGGAGAGAATGATTACCAGGACTTTGAACTCTGCCTGGAGAAAATTGTGGCTAGACTGTGTCGACAAGAGGGATTTTGAAGGGTTTGGGACTGACCCTGATGAGCCTATGTCTGTTGTTAAATCTATTGTGGCACTGGGGAGTTTCATGGGGTTGGATGTGAGTAGAGGATGTGGAAGAGTTGGTGGAAGATCACAACGAAGAGCTCACCACTGAGGAGCTGCAAGAGCTTCAGCAGGAACAGCAACAGATCGCAGCTCAGAATCTTGCTGCAGAGGAGGAGGAAGAGAGATGGAAGAAGGTGCCTTCTTCAGAAATTAAGGAGATTTTTTTTCCATGTGGGGTAAGATGGAAAGATTTAATGGAGAAACAAACACCCTGACAAGGCTGTTGCAGGCCATGTTGGCAACATGTACAGTGACAAAGTCTTGGGCCATTTTGGGAAGTGTTAATGAGACGCAGAAAGAAAACAGAGCTCTCTCAGTTATTTGTGTGCAGGACTCCAGTGATCTCAAGTGGTCCTAGTGGCCATAAGAAACAGAGAGAGAAACAACCAGAAAAGCAATTGTTTTTTTTAATATAATAAAAAACCTGAGGTGTTGCTGGAAGGAGTATTCCCTTCAAACTATAAATATCAATCTCTCTCTCCTCCAGTCTCCATACACTAAGTAGAATCTCCAACAAAGGTAAGTGTTATGCTGTTTAATGTTTCATTCAGCATTTCCCATTGTAATTGTTAATGTACTACAAATCTATAGTCATGTAAAAAATTTTTGTTTTATACTTCTGGGGTCAGGAACGGATTAATTATATCTACATTATTTCTTATGGGGAAAATTGATTCGAAAAATCGTAGATTTCGATATAGGTCTCCTCAGGAAACGGATCGTAAATACGAAAAAAACGATAGGGGGACCACTGTATATCGATGCCTTCGTATACCTGGGGAGTCCATGTATTACAGTGGACCCCAGTACGAAGCATTTGAACGAAAAATTTTGCCTCACCTCACGATAAAAAACTCGGCCTTAAGTGTGATTCATCCGGATGCATACCAGTGTGGCCTCTGCACCGTGTTTACAAGCCAGCCAGTGCGGTCACATCTAGCATACATTTCAGTGCATTTCACCATTATCCCAGTGTTTTTTTAGTGTTTGTAGCGGCAAAAATAAGTTCCATGGACCCCAAGATAAGCTTCTGTCTATCCCTGTCGTAAAAAGGGGCAGATAGTATGGAATTGAAAAAAGAGATGAAGGAAATGTGTGCAATGGTGGGTTGAACTTGCAAACCTTTACGGATGAAAATACCCTGTCACAGCTACTGCAAGCAGTGTTGGCAACCTGTACAATGAACTATATATGGCCCTACTTTATGGAAAGTTCTTAAAGGAACGGGAGGTAAGGTACAGAGTATATGACAGATTTGTTGGGCGACGAGGGTCCAGTGCTCTCATGATGGTCCTAGTGGCAAGTTAAGAAGAAGGAAGTAGTAACCCCGAGAAAGGGGAAAAGGATCTTTGGCTACTCAAAGTCCTAATGGAAGGGGATTCCCCTTCTAAACATTAACTTCCTTCACTCTCCCTCCCATTCCATCAATCATCACCATATCTTCAATAAAGATAAGTGTCATGTATTCTATTCTTAGTAGAGTAGTAATTGTGCATGTCTTCTTCAGTTTGTGTGTATTAAAATTAATATTTCATGTGTTAAAATTTTTTTTTTCATACTTTGGGGTGTCAGGAACGGATTAATTTGATTTCCATTACTTCTTATGAGAAAAATTGATTCGGCTAACGATAATTTCGGCTTACGATGAGCTCTCAGGAACGGATTAATATCGTACGGCGGGGGTCCACTGTATCTTGAAATTGAGCTCAAAGTAGAAGAAATGTTCGATTCTTTATCGATGTTCAAGAGTAAACAAATGACGTCACGGTCCATTCCAATATGCAATCATGAATGGGTTGATATTACTTATACAATTATTACAATAATGCAGGAGTCTGCATAACAGAGAATCTTTTATTTTTTGTGTGAATAAAAATTCCAAATGGTAAGCATATTATTATAAGAATATGTATGCACTACTACTACTACTAATAATAATAACAATAATATGTATAATAAATAATTATATACGTAATATTAGACATAATATAATTATATAAGAATACATAGTAATATATGTAATTAGAATAATAATAATGCTATAATTGGTTTCAGTTTTGCCACACTGGATGTCAGTTTGTGTATCAAACATCGCCGCTTGGGAGGGAGGAAGGGAAATTCTCATGATTTCTTTTGTTTTGTTGAGTTATTTGCTATATTTCTTGTTTCTAACCTTGGGTGTTGTTAAGGAAGAAAGAGCAAATGGAAGTGCTGAGAAGAAAAAAGAGGATGATTTCCATGGAATTAAAGCAGGAAATCATGCAAACACAAACTAGGTGTAGCATTATAAGTGTAGCATTGAAAGTGTAGCATTAAAAGTGTACTATTAATAGTGCAGCAATTAAACAATTAAGTGATAGAATAGGGATGATCTAATGGAGTTTGCCTTACAAACACTTCGTTTTCTGTTATAATAAAAGCACGGGAAGGTATGAAGTTGATATGAGGAATGGCCGCTGTGGTGGCCCCAACAACAATGGCAGCCACTAGCACTACTCACATATGTAGTATTTCATTCATTCTAGTGTATATATCATGTTTCTATGTTATTAATATTGTTTATGTCATATTAGATGACTTGTGATAGATAAATAAGCCGTAGAGTTGATATTAGGGAAATTATTGAAGTATTTTATGGTGCCTGGAATTCCACTGAAACGAATTAATTGTAAATCAATTAATTTAAATGAGGAGAATTGACTCTGCAAATGAGCAAATCCAGATGCAAGGTCACGGAACAGATTAAACTCATTAGTGGTGGTTCCACTGTACACTGTATTGGCCCTGAACACCCCACCTTACACAACACATTGGTCACTATGTGACTGCTTTGTAAACAGCATTTCTCAAATTGTTTGCTACCTGGCTAATGGATGAATAAAAGTTTCCTATTCTTTAATTGAGTTTAAACATTCTCAGCTCACAATTGAGAATTGGGGTTGAACCTTGCACAAAGGGAGAGGTATGGGAAAGTCTAATTCCAGTTCCTGCTAGCTAGCCAAAAGAGTACTAATACACACACTCTTACCTAGGTGGGCAGTATCAATAGCACTGTTTGCAGCCACTAACACACAGGATCATTGTTTTCTGTATTCTCCAAACAAGTTCAAATTCAAATTTTTTTATTTCTTTACATAGTATACAATGGGTGATTTACATGGTATAAAATACATACTGTTAAGCACAAAAAAAGCCACAAGCCTGCCTGAGCATTTCAGGCAGACAGGGTTTCAAAGCAGGAGTGGTAACACTGGGCATGTTTCCTTAGATAAGACTTCTTTAGACTTTTAACCCAAAGGGTAAGCCACCTAAGATAACCCAATAAAGTCAATGTGTCATCGAGGACTGCCTGTCTGATTTCCATTGTGGTCTTTCAATCTTGTCTCTCAGGATGTGATCCACGATAGTGAACTAACACCCAGGTACCTACTTACTGCTAGGTGAATAGGGATAGCAGGTGTAAGGAACATACCCAACATATCCACCCATGCTGTGAACTGAACCAGGGTCACTCATTATACGGTGAGTGCACTGCCAACTGAGTCAAAGGACACCATACACCTGTTGTCCCTTTCACGTAACAGCAAGTAGGCACCTGGGTGCTGACTGACTGTTGCATTCACATGCACTTGCCTGTATGTGGCTGAAGGGGTAGTTTTAGCTCCTTATTCCACCCCTCAATTTGCTGCTTGCCAGATTCACTCTCTCCTAACCTTGTGGGCTCAATCATACTGGCTCTTAAAACTATGTACTGAATCTGCCTCCATCATGTCTTTTGTCAAAATCATTCCACTTCCTGAAACCATGAAGCTCAATAAATACTTCATGACATCCCTGTGACTCATCTGTATTTTTAACTTCCAGTTGTGCCCCAGAGTACCTTTTTCCTGATTTAGTCTATTACTGTCTACTCTTTCCAGTTCTCCGGATATTTTGTAGGGGTGGTATTAATTTTGGTGGGCATCAACTAATTTTGACGGCATACAGTAGGCATCATAAATACGTATGCACATGCACAAGAAAGAAGCTTTTATCAGACTATCTGTCTGACAGTTTTGAGAGATGCCAGGGCAACTTTTGTAGGGAAGACAGTGCCCCTTGACATACTGTCAAAAGACAAAGACGTGAATAAATTACTGTGATTCACCAAATGGCACTTAATGACTGGCCTGGAAACTCAATGGACTTAAATCTGATAAGAAAACATTGGAACCTTATTAGAGAACATTTGGAACCTTTGTGGTATCAACGTGTCCTCTAATTGCAAAATCTCAAGAGAAAGCAGGTGTGGGAGAGTATTAACCTTTCATCCAACATAAGTTAGCCTTATCAGTGACAGAGATTTAAGAAATGCATCAAAAGGAAGAGTAATCCTACGAAATATAAATTTAGGTGAAGAACCCATCCATATTTCATTATTTTATTTCTGAAACAACAGTTTAAGGCGTCAGATTTCATTTCCTGTGTTATGTGCTTGTGTGCATGTATATTTATATCTTATCTAATTGGACATTGACTAATTTTGATGGTATCGGAAAACATATTTTGGTAGTGTTTTATCACCAGGATCTAAGAGTCCAAATAGAAATCAGCCAGACACAATGACTTTACTGGGTTATCCTGGATTACTAACCCTCTGGGTTAACAAGTCTTAATAAAATCTCCCTTGGATCAAGAACCCTTCGTTGTTACCTCCCTCGAGAGGATCTTCCTTTATCCTAAACTCGGAATTCGCCATAATTCCTGCTACTAGCTTACTATCAATACAATGAGTCAATAGACAGTGCCACTCAGGTGCCTACCTTAGCTATCCTAGTGGCTGAAATAGCCATTATTAATACAAACTATTAAGGGCACAGCCTTACACCGGCTGACAACAACACAAGATGACTTCCTCTCAACACGCGCCACACACCTCGACCTCGGCTTCGTATTATTATTTAAAACAAAATAAAAAGTTTATCCAAACACTGAAAATTTTTAAATGGATTCCTTTCTTAAATAAATGAAAATGTGTTTGGGGGAATGTGTGTGTGTGTGTGTGTGTGTGTGCGTGTGTGTCTATATAGCATGTGTTACTGTAAAATACCGGGCAAGATTTAAGACAATGATGGTTTAATCATAGACAATCAATATAGTTGACATTGGAGGGATAAAGTGAAATTTTTCCAGCCATGGTTTTAAATAAAGACGTCAAACTAGATGTACTGTATGCAGTACTTATTCTGGAAGAAGACATTTCTCTTATTGACACCTAATGTGGCTGCAGGGGTCGGACTCAGTTGGCCCCGCCTGTCTTCATGATCGCTACTAGGTCTCTCCCTCTATGCTTCTGAGCTTTGTCATTAACCTCTTTTAAAACTTTGTATGGTTCCTGCCTCCACTACTTAACTTGCTAGGCTATTCCACTTCTGAAGACCTCTAGGACTGAAGAATATATTTACTAACGTCCCTATGACTCATCTGAGTCTTCAGCTTCCAGTTGTGACCCTAGTTTCTGTTGTCCCCTCTCATGGAACTTCCTGTCTCTGTCCACCTTGTCTATTCCCCGCAGTATCTTGTATGTCGTTATCATGTCTCCCCTGACCCTTCGTCTCCAGTGTCGTCAGTCGATTTTCCTCAACCTTTCCTCGTACGACATTCCCTGAGCTCTGGGACTAGCTTGTTGCAAATCCTTTGTAATTTCTCTAACTGCTTGACGTGCTTGACAGGTGTTGGGTTCCAGGAGGGTGCTTGATACTACAGTATGGGCCCTGCGATTACACAGTGTATAAAGTCTTGAACGATTCCTTACTGAGTACGGGAACGCTATTCTCAGGTTTGCCAAGCGCCCATATGCCGCTGCAGTTATCTGGTTAATGGTGTGTTTCTGGCGGATGTACTCGGTATTATACTCACCCTAGGTTTTTACTCCCTGTTGGAGGTTTGCAGCCTATGGCCACTACCTCTAAACCGTCTGCAGTCTTCTTTGCCCTCATCCGATCTTCCATGACTTGGCATTTGGGCGGGGGTTTTAAATTCTAGGAGGCCAGTTTCTGGGACCACACGTCAGCCTGTTCCAGGTCTCTTTGTCGACCTGTCTGGTCCGCATCCTGATTTAATTCCCATTCATTAACTTCACGTCATCTTCAAACAAAGGACACTCTGAGTCTATCCCTTCCATCATGTCGTTCACATATACCAAGAAATAGCACTGGTCCCATGACTGACCCTGTGGGACCCCGTGTCACTGGTTCCCACTGTGATACCTCATACGGGACCCATGATTTCGCTGTCGCCTCCCTGTTAGGTATTTCTCTGATCCATTGCAGATGCCCTTCCAGTTATACGTGCCGGTCCTCTAGCTTCTGTGACTAATCTCTTGTGAGGAACTGTTGTCAAAGGCCCTTCTTACAGTCAAGTAAATGCAATCAACCTCCCCCTCTCATTCTTACTCCCAGTTACCTTGTCGTAAAACTCAGTAGGTTTGTGACACAGGAATTTGCCTTCCTGAATCCGTGCTGGCTGTCGTTTATAATCTTGTTCCGCTCCAGGGCTCCATCACTCTCCTGTAATCTTTTCACGACTTTGCATTACTATACATGTCAGTGACACTGGTCCATATAATTTAGTGCTTAATGTCTGTCTCCCTTCTTAAAGATGGGGACTACATTTGCCTTCTTCCATACTTCAGGTAGGCTGCCCTGTTCAAGGGAAGTGTTGAAGATTTTGGTTAGTGGCACATGTTGTGTTCCCTGCTCCCTCTCTAAGGTCCCAAGGAGGATGTTGTCCGGTCACGCCTTGGAGGTATCAGGCACGGAGGAGCTTCTCCACCTCCTAATCAAGTTGTGTGTAATTCATCCAGCCACTTGTTGGTATATCCCTTGTTGCTGTATGCCATGTTTTGTCTCCACCGTTGTCCTTCAGCCTTCATGGAAATACTTCTGAAATCTCATGTTGAGCATCCCCTCACATTACCTCATGGTCGTTTCTTGTGAGCTCCCCACCTTCTTTCTCAGCCTGATTAACTGGGTTCCTTGACTGTTGTCTTCGTCCTGATATGGTGTAGAAGTAGTTTCAGATCAGTTGACTTCGATGCTATGTATTTTTTTCATTCTGCCACTGCGCCTCCTTCTTATCTGGCATATCGGTTTCTGGCTCATCGACTAATCTCTTTATTCTCCTGAGTCCTTTGCCCTTCTGTACTGCTTCCATTCTCTTGCCTCCCTGCACCTCGGGTTAAAAACAAGGGCTCGTTCTGTCCTACCCATTATTTCTCTTTCCTTGGGAACAAACTTTCCTCTGCCTCCTTTGCAGTTTGTTGTTTACAATGTCCATTATTTCGTTTTCTGAATTTTCTACCAACTCCTGTTCCCACTGATACCTCCTGCAGAGGTCCTCATTCTGTGGTAGTCGCTTCTTTTATAGTTTAGCTATTGTGTTGTGTATACCTAGTTGTTTACTCCACCTAGTTGAGGTTGTGTGTGGGTCGAGTCTGAGCTCCTGGGCCGCCTCTTCACTGATCGCTACTAGGTACCTTCCAGAGCCGGGGCTTTATCTTACCTCTGCTTAAAGCTATGTTTGGAGTCCTGCCTCCCACTACATCGCTTCCAAACTTTTCCACTTACTGACTACTCTGTGGTGAAGAAATACTTCCTACATCCCTAGTGATTCATCTGTGTCTTCAGCTTCCAACTATGTCCCTTGTTACTGTGTCCAATTCTGGACATCCTGTCTTTATCACCTTGTCACTTCCTCTCTGTATTTTGTATGTCGTTATCATGTCCCCCTATTTCCCTGTCTCCAGTGTCGTCAGGTGATTTCCCTTAACTCGCCTCGTAGGACATACCTCTTAGCTCTGGGACTAGTCTTGTTGCAAAACCTTTGCACTTTCTCTAGTTTCTTTACGTGATTGGCTAGTGTGGGTTCCAAACTGGGGTCGAAGACTCCAATATGGGCCTAACGTCACGGTGTACAGGGTCCTGAACGATTCCTTATTAAGATGTCGGAATGCTGTTCTGAGGTTTGCCAGGCGCCCATATGCTGCAGACTGTTATTTGGTTGATGGGCGCTTCAGGAGTTGTGCCTGGTGTTATATCACCCTAGCTCTTTTACTTGAGTGATGTTTGTAGTCTCTGGCCCCCTAGACTGTACTCGTTTGCGGTCTTCTTTGCCCTTCCCATCCTTATGGACTGTGCACTTGGTGGGATGAACTCCAGGAGCCAGTTGCTGGACCAGGTCTGCAGCCTGTCCAGATCCTTTGTATTTCTGCCTGGTCTTCAATCGAATAAATTCTTCTCATCAACTTCTCGTCATCTGCAAACAGGGGACACCTCGGAGTTTTATTCTTCCGTCATGTCGTTCACAAATAACAGAAACAGCACGGGTTCCAGGACTGACCCTGTGGCACACCGCTGGGTCACAGGTGCCCACTCTTGACACCTCGCCATGTACCATTACTCGGCTGCTGTCTTCCTGCAAGTATTCCTGATCCTTTGCAGTGCATTCCCCTGTTATACCCTGCTTGGTCCTCCAGTTTTTGCACTAATCTCTTGTGTGGGAATCTGTGTCAAACGCCTTCTTGCAGTCCAAGAAATGCATCCACCCACCCCTCTCTCTCTTGTCTTTCTCACTGTCACCATGTATAGAACTCCAGTAGGTTTGTGACACAGGATTTCTGTCTCTGAAAACCATGTTGGCTGACTGGTGATTGAGATTAATTCCGTTCTAGTGTTTCCACCACTCTTTCCTGACAATCTTTTCCATGCATTTTGCAGCTGATACATGTAGTGACACTGGTCTGTAGTTTATGCTTCATGTCTGTCTCCTGTTTTTAAAGATTGGGCCCACATTTGCTGTCTGCCATGCCTCAGGCAATCTCCCTGTTTCGATAGATGTATGAATATTGTTGTTAAGGGTACACATAGATTGCCTCTGGCTCCCTCTCTCAGGACCCATGGAGTGATGTTATTGGCCCCATGCCTTGAGGTACCTAGCTCACTCAAGATGCCCTCTTCACTTCTTCCTCGGTTGTGTGTCCATGTCCTGCACCTGGTGATGTTGTGCCACACCTCTGCGTTCCCTCTGGAGCCCTTCTGTCTCCTCTGTGAACCCTTCTTTGAATCTCTTGTTGAGTTCATCACATTCTGCACGGTCATTTATTGTTGTCTCTCCTCCTTCCTTCTTTAGCCTGATTACCTGGTCCCTTGACTGTTGTTTTCTCCTGATGGGCTGTATAAACAGCTTCGGGTCAGATTTGGCTTTCGCTGCTATGTCGTTTTCATATTGTCGTTGGGCCTCCTTCTTTATATGTGCATATTCGTTTCTGCTCTACGACTGCTCTCCTTATTCTCCTGGGTCTTTGCTTCTATATTCGTCCATTCCCTAGCACACTTGGTTTTTGCCTCTTGCATCTTTGGGGTGAACATGGGCTCATCCTGGCTTTTCCATTATTCCTGTACGGGGGGGGGGGGATTTTTTTGGGTTTTTTTTTTAAACAAACCTCTCCTAGCCTCCTTGCACATTGTTGCTACATATTCCATCATCTCATTAACTGGCTTCCTGCCAGTTCTATGTCCCACTGAACCTCATTCCGGAAGTTCCTCATTCTGTGTAGTCCCCTTTCCTGTTAGTTTGGTTTCATTTGTCCTGGCACTTCCTGCTTCCCTCCACTTGTAGCTATTATGGAGTATTCGAAGCTCAAAACCACATGATCGCTGGCCCCCAAGGGTCTTTCATATGTGATGTCGTCAATTTCTGCAACTATCAGGTGAAATACTAAGTCCAGTCTTGTGGTTCCTCTCTCCCTCTCTCTTGTAGTGTCCCAACGTGTTGGTTACATGAAAGTTGTCAGTTACCCCTCCATCATCTTAGCCCTCCATGTATCTTGGCCCCCTGTGGCTCCTAGTTATCCCATTCGATCTCCTTGAGGGTAAAGTTCGCCCATTGATCAGGAGCTTTGCCTGCATGCATGAGCT